CAATGCATGTCTTAACATCAACTGACTTCAGTTCTGCGGACAAGGTTAGTATTACAGAACAGAGCTCTACAAAACACAGCACATGTCCAAATGTTTCACATTCTTTTCATAACACACTTTTAAGGTGGCAAGAGAAGCCGTTGAACTTTGTCTTCACATCAAGAGGTCAAAAAGCAATTAAGACCACATGCTGAAGACAGATTACAGCTCCCATATAGTGAATTTCTGGATTTGTCTGGCAACATCTTGTGCCAGAAGCTGGTCTTCCACCATGGAGAAGCATCACCCTCATGAGGGAACGCATTTACTAACCAACATTTAACATGCTAAAATGTGTAACCAGAAAAATAGTCCTAAAACTATAGCCCTCAACTCTGCTGACCCACAAGGAATATACAGATCAATAACATGATGTGAACTGTATTGTATTTTGCACTTGTTCCCTGCTTCAGTTCAGGTCTTAGTTTTCTATGCCCCTGAGCAGCCTGATTGTTGGGGAACCTGGCTGTTTGAAGACCATAATAAGGATACTGGGGAGGGACTCTTCATTAGGGACTGTAGTGATAGGACAAGGGGTGACAGGTTAAAACTTAAATAGGGGGAAGTTTAGATTGGATATAAGGAGGAAATTCTTTACTGTAAGGGTGGTGAGGCACTGGAATGGGTTGCCCAAGGAAGTTGTGAATGCTCCATCCCTGGCAGTGTTCAAGGCCAGGTTGGACAAAGCCTTGGGTGACATGGTTTAGTGTGAGGTGTCCCTGCCCATGGTAGGGGGGTTGGAACTAGATGATCTTAAGGTCCTTTCCAACCCTAACTATTCTATGATTCTATAATAACGAAGAGTTTAAAAGAGTTGAAATTAAAAGAATTTCTTGCGTCCAAAAAATATGTAGACCTTAAGCCTCAATTTTGCAACACTGAAAGAGATGGCTTGTGTTACACGTCTGAGTAATTCCATGGAGGTCACGTGAAAACTCAGAATGCATACAAATATTGTATTAAAGGCTATTGTTGGAAAGGGGCGGGGGGGGATGGAGGGCGGGAAGAAGCAAAGAGCAAACAAAAAATACAGCTTGAGGTGTTGTACAGTTTATGTTTCCTATAACCCAAGCTCAATGAAGGACAGAGATGAGTATCAGGGCAATATGAATCTGGAAGCTATTTAGCTGCTTTCTGTTTATGTCCATACTCATATTGAAAAGGTATTGATACACCATTACCTCTTTAGTGACCGAAGAAGAGAAAAGGAGAAACATGACCCCTTTCATTGGTTCTCCATCACTTCGTACTGACCCAGAAACATTGTAGCCTGCAACAACCAGAGGGCTAGCAGCATAAGCATTAGAACTGGTCACTCGCACCACTGTGTTTGACTGAAATACAGAAACACATATATCTCCATCAAAAGCAAGCACTTCATTTACAGCACCCAAGTAACAATCAGAAGTTGTACACTCAACAACAGAAACAGAGGCCAGAGAAGCAGTGCTCAAAGAGGCTACTCAAAACGCAAAGACACTAAAGCAAAGATACTTTTCAAAACAGCATTCTTTCTGTTTTACTGATTTAGGAATGGGTCGGGATCTCAGAGCTTCTCAGAAAGCAAGCAGTCTGAGAGGGAGGGATTAGAGCATCTGCTACAATACTTAAGCTCTTGCAAAATGGGTAAGCTTAGAAGACCAAAAGCAAGAGCTCGTTTGCCAGTTCTGCCCCAGCTGACTCCACTATCTCTAAACTGGGCCTGCATAAGGCAGTTTCTTGACAACCTAAATTAAATGCTTGAAAACCCCACTAATCTTGTCTACTCACAAAAACCCTTCCTCACACTAGCTGATCAATACACAGTCTAGCAGATCCGTCCTCACCAAACAGGTGAAACAGAACTTCTGTAGGCTCTAACCTCTTTCAACATCCAGGTAGGATGAGATGCAAAGATTTCGTATTCCCCAGGAAGCACTTTAAAGAAAGCAAACCTGTAAGGCAAGAAAGAGGTTACATCTCTTCAGCAACAGTCACAAACATCACTTTATACAAAAACAACTTAGACTCTACGCATGTTAGAAAAAATATTTCAGAACTGCTATCATCCCAGTTGATATGGCAGAATTGAAAGAAGCTTGTGTAAACAAGCAGATGAATTAAGTATGCAACACCCACACTCACTTTCCTCCAGGTTGTGTAACAGTTGCTTGTATGTTTATGTCACTGCCAGCATTTCTCAGTACAACCTGGACTCCAGCAGGACCTAATGTCTGACCTTTGCTGAGAACCTGTCAAAATGAACAGAAACCAGAGAATAAATGGATAAAAATAACTTGCAGAGCTGAAGTACAATGTTTTTATGAAGGCAGAATTAGCATAAAATGGAATAAATAAAGATAAAGGAGACTAACCTTTCCGTTCACAGAAAACCCTGTGAACACAAAGTTAATATCACCTCCCTTTGTGCAAATGTCATTAATGCCATCCACATGGATGTCTACACTGGTTGGTTCTGGAGGGGAAGCACAATGAAACAGCGTGGTAGTTAGTGAGAGAGCAAACATGAAACAATTCTGCTTTAGCTTTACAGAACTCTCACAGAAATGCATTAGCTCAAGCACGCAAGGGTTGCTGTGGAAGTCCTTCCTCAGCAAAGTTAAAGCACCCAGAAACCCTGATGTTGAAAATCCTCTTCCTTCCACTGCAGCCATTTTTGTCAAGAACTCACATTCCTTCGATTCAGTTCATGGGTTACTTTATCAGTGTCTACCTTAGAGCTTATTATCTTCTGGTAAAGTAAGAACACTTTAGTTGTTAAAACCATACAGTAAAGCTTATTTCTTTAGAAAAGCACTTGATTTTCCCTGCCAACTGCAAGTCAGAGATAGTTAAGTCTCACATTGCAGATACACTACCCTATTGTAAGAAGACTTATGAGCACTTACCGAAACTCCACCCTAGGGGAGGCTCAATTTTAAGAATGAAATCCCCCTAAAAATGAAATAAGAAAGCAATAACTGTCTTCACTGATCAAAATACAATTAAGAATGGGAAAAAAAAAAGTCAGAACATAAGCATCAAGCTGCAAAGTAACACAAGATTCAAGTGTCACTCTTCTCCCTTCCTCATACCTAAGACATTCCATTCAAAGCAGCAGCAATATCTACCCAGACAGGCTGGGATGCTGGGCTCACATCCAGCCAGCTAAGACCAAAATTAAGTATCACCATGTTTATACTCCATCCAGACCACACTTGGCTCATGTTCAAGCAGCTCAGTTAGAAAGTGTTCAAATGTATCTCTACCTGCCCCAACAGATGTGCTCTGAATCAGCCTTTAGTATTTCCACTAGGCGGTCCTGCTCAATCATTCTGCCCAGACAGGGGACAAAAAAATTTCAATCCTATTAAAAGCTCTGCACCAAAATAGTATTTATCTACACAGGGATGCTCTTTAAAGCAGTGGGCACCACATTACGTTCTGCCACGTATGTTCTGAAATTCATTCATGGAAAGGCCTAAGAACAAAATCACAGAGCTCAGAAGGCATCTCACATTCTTACACTGGGAAGGGAAGGGTTTATTTTGCGGTTGGACTAAGTGACCTTTAAAGGTCCCTTCCAACCTCAACCATTCTATTATTTTATGATTCTATTTCTGATCCCCAAGTTAACTATCTCTTTTAAAGAGCAAAACACTTAGACCATCTGAGGACAGCTTGTATTTAATTTAAATATAAACTTCTTGCCAGCTTAAACAGATATCAAACTTTTGATACATTCTGAGCTTTTCTGGTATTATTTCCTTAAGACATTTTTAACATCTGCCATTAGTCATTCAAGTTATTTTCAATTCAGTCATATCAAAACACATTCTAATAAATTTATTTGCATTTCTATAGGCAGGTAACCAAAAGCTTTATCTGTACTACATAGGTAGCTGCACTTTCTGTGCAGTATTTCCACTGCTGCTAGCACAGGGCTGTTGCCAGTAACTCAGTCTCCCAATGCTGCAGTCATTCAGATAAGCAGCATAAGTGCAACACAGCAGCTAAAGTTACCTGGATTTTCTCATAACACTTAACAAAGAGAGATAAAATACTAGCATTACAAAAAGAAACAGTTGAAAGTTTGGTCAAAACCAAAACAAATGATGTCCTGATTCAAATGTTTCATGTGTAGGGGGTGTTCTGCTGGCACCTCCATCACAGGGCAGACAGCACCGGTATTTCAGTTTCTTACCTTATCATAGAGGGGAATCATGAAATACCCATTGTTTGGCGCGCAATCTGTCTGGTATTTCAAGGTACCATGTTTTGTGTATAATTTAATCTAAAAGAAACAAACAAAAAAAAAGATACTTTAAGAAAACGTGAACAACGCCTGAACCAGGTATTCTCTAACCAAGTGCTTTTACACAACAGCTCCCGCGTGTCCCAGGGCCGTAACAGCGAAAAGGTTTATTGCAAGAAGACGGCAATCTGCCAGGCGAAGCCGGATAAATTCAGCCCCGGACCCCGAAGAAAATGCCTGAAGGAAAACCTACTTCAACTGAAACCAGGCCGCAACCACAGCCAGCGGCCCTGGCGCACAAGGGCTGTGGTCATGCCGCGCAGCCGGGCGCCCAGGCTGAGGCTCTGCAGGCTGGCAGACAGAGCACAAGGAGCCAGGGCTGCCAGGCGCCCTACTCCGCGCGGCCCGGCCGGCTGAAGGGACGGGCGGCGGCGCCCACCTCGATCAGGGAGTAGTTGATCTCAACGTCGGACTTGACGAAGCCGCCGCAGCCCACGACGATGTCCTCGGAGCCCCGCGCCAGGACGCAGCACAGCGCGCAGACCAGCCCCAGCGCCAGCCCCGCGGCCGCCGGGACCCGCATACCGCCACCGCCGCCACCACCGGCTCCCTGACTCAGCGCCGCCTGCCGCGCTGCCGGAAGAGCCGGGCTAGGCTGGGCCGGGTGCTGCCCCCTGCCGGCCCGGCTGGCTGTCCCGACACCGGTTCTGCGGAGCTCCCCTCCTGGCGGCAGCTCCCGCCGCCCGCAGACAGGATGGAACGAGGCGCCCCGGGGCGCCGAGAGGAGGGCTCGCCCGCCACCTCAGCGGGCGCGATGGCTGCAGGCGGTGCGCTGTGCGGCTCCGCTGGGTTCTGGGTGAGTGAGCGAGCGAGCGAGCGGGCGCCGCGACGCCGTCCCGCCGGCGCCAGAGCCCTGACGGAGGCCTGACAGAGCCCGGTCCGGCCCCACCAGCCCGCGAAGGGAGCGAGCGGCGGCCAGACCCGGCCCGACCCCGGGGTGCGCGGGTTCCGCCTGAGCGGGGCCGCTCCGCGGACAGCACCCCCGGGGGCAGGGGTTGAGGGGGTATGGAGTAAGGCACAGATACAGTGTGAGCAGCGAAGCGTGTTTGCATCAGAGGTTGCTGGTGCGGACTTTGCCTCCCTGGGGCTCACCCAAATCCCTGGGGCTCTGTCAGTTACAGCAAATCTGATGGGAGTTATGTGGGAGCTAGTCCGGCTGCACTGGTGCAAGAGTACTGAAATCAGCCCCTTCCTGAGTGACCCATTACAGAAATACCTTTCCAAGGGCTCAAATGGGTTATCAGTACAGACTCACATGCATTGCCATCCTTAAGGTTGATAAACTCCCATAAGAATTTGTGAGCTGTTACCTGCTTCCTCTTGCCATCAAGTGATTGCCCTAGTCTTGATTTGAATCATCGCCTTCACATACAGGGCTTGAACCATCTCTACAAGATACTGAAGAAAAAACACCCTTCCCTGTTCATCTGCAACATTATTATGTTTGCAGATGAGATCTAACTATTCAGTCAAAAAAATTACTGAAGAATTATAAATACAGCTGAGGAAATGCAGTTGTGATGCACTTTATGCACTAGGACACTTCTTTAATCCTAATCTCTGTTTCACCAGTCATTCCCTCTGATGGTTCCCAAATGCTGATAATATTTATGTTCCCAAATTACTTTTTCTCAATTCACATTTAATAACTTAAATTTCCAATTTTTTTTCCCTAATTGTGATACATGATACCCTTTCTTTGGCATCTTTCACTTTTCCAACCTCCCCCCCCCTTCTACTTCCATTTGTTCCAAAAGCTACTGCTGAGTCCAAATGACTTTTACATTTGAAACGCTAAATCAAATTCCTCTAACATTATAGCAGATCTCAGTTGTAGTATTCAAAACTTGCATTCGCTCATGAAATTCTGCATACGTTGGCTTTACTGTTTCACTTCTGTGTTGATTCTGTGACAGGACTGGAACCAGACATGGTACACAAACACCCCAAGATTTACCTGGTGCTTTGAGAGTACAGTCATTGCTTGGATCCCTTGTGCCTATCTTTGGATCTGTTTTCCTTTCTACTACTTGTATCTTCGGCACAAAACCAAAGGCTACATCAGGATGTCCCACATCTTCAAAGCCAAAATGGTAAGGGTGGAGGATGGGTTTGATCCTAACATTATAACATTGTTGCAGAACTTAATTTTTCTATATGATCAGCTCTTTTCTGATGATCTATCTCTGTGTTTGCTTTGACATTTACTGACTCAGATGAAGTCCAGTCAAGTATAAAGTAAAATTTTAGGATGAGCTGATATGAGAGCTTCTCCCCTGTACTTGCATTTGGTTCCTGCTACTTCCCGTAATGCTGTCTGTCCCAGACTTGCTCTTCCACCTCTACAGTCTTACTGCCCAGGCTACTTGGAGCACTCAGTTCAGTAGATTGTCTCATCATCATTTCAGTCCATTTTAACATGTGTTTGCTGCCTCTGACCCAGGTCCTTGGATTCATCCTGGTAATACTGTGTTTTACTAATGTCTTCTTCATCCTGTGGGAGATAAGCCAAGGAATTCGACGGGCTCCAGCATTCCTCATTAGCCCTGCTGTGGTGGGAATCACAATGGTAATTCTTCCTTTATTTTGTCTGCGTGTGGCCCAGCTTAATCATGTTGTTAGCATAAACACAGTGTGCAGTGTGGTTTGGTTTAGAGTAAAATGGGATTCCTGTTCAACCTAAATGCCTATCGTCCCCTCCTGTCATTGCATCTTCATAGCCTAGATCCTCCCACTTGTAATTTTATTACATACCCTTTCTGGAGAGACATTCTTCAGTGCAAAATTGCACATAATGCTTTTCAGTTTTAGCCTTTTAGGAACAATACTGAAGCTCTGAGTATCTTGAAATGTTTCAGCTAGATCTGATTTTTCCTTATCGTATTTGTAATTTGATAGTAATGGCATTCCATGACCAGCTATTTATTTGGACAAATTTGTACTCTCCTGCAGATCCTTGCCATGTTCCTTACCCAAGTAGAAAGAATGGTTGGCATCCAGTCTTCAGGCATCCTGTTGATTTACTGGCTGCTCTCATTCATGGCTACAGTTGTGATGTTTAGTTCCAAAGTCCAACATACCCTGGAAAGAGTAAGTGAAATCACATATCTTTAACCTGCAGGGATATGAAGTCTCTAAACAGGGCGCTTTTGCTTCATTGACTGTGAGGTGGAGAACTCCTCTCTTAAAATATGTGCTGAGAAAAATGATTGATACTTGTCATCTCCATCCGTGGTATCCCTTTCAATGTAGACAATGTAGTTTTCTGAGAGCCTGTTGGACTTCATATATAAATAAAAACAAAAGGAACATTAACATTGTCACTAAAAACTGGCCATACAACAGATTTTGTATGAGAAAATGAACATGAGCCAGCAGGGTGTGCTTGCAACCCAGAAAGCCAACCGTATCCTGGGCTGCAACAAAAGGAGCGTGACCAGCAGGTCGAAGGAGGTGATCCTGCCCCTTTACTCTGCTCTTGTGAGACCTCACCTGGAGTATTGTGTGCAGTTCTGGTGTCCTTAACATCAAAAGGACATGGAACTGTTGGAGCAAGTCCAGAGAAGGGCCACGAGGATGATCAGGGGACTGGAGCACCTCCTGTATGAAAATAGGCTGAGAAAGTTGGGGCTGTTCAGCCTTGAGAAGAGAAGGCTGCATGGAGACCTCATAGCAGCCTTCCAGTATCTGAAGGGGGCCTATAGGGATGCTGGGGAGGGACTCTTCATTAGGGACTGTAGTGATAGGACAAGGGGTAACGGGTTAAAACTTAAACAGGGGAAGTTTAGATTGGCTATAAGAAGGAAATTCTTTCCTGTTAGGGTGGTGAGGCACTGGAATAGGTTGCCCAGGGAGGTTGTGAATGTTCCATCCCTGGCAGTGTTCAAGACCAGGTTGGACGAGGCCTTGTGTGATATGATTTAGTGTGAGGTGTCCCTGCCCATGGCAGAGGGGTTGGAACTAGATGATCTTAAGGTCCTTTCCAACCCTAACTATTCTATGATTCTGTGCTCTATTATACATTTTTATTATTTGGGTATTTGTGGTGAATGTTTATTTGTGCTGGCTGGGTTTACACATCTGACACTTCATCATAAGTGGCTGTTTTCCTCAGGTGAACAGCTGTACCTTTCCATCACAACAAGGAGTAGACAAAAGCTTATGTTACCTCCATGTTTAAGTAATAGGGGAAAATATGTGGCCACTAAACAAAAGACAGTTGGGAGCTTGCTTGTTCCTGCTGTGTTGAATGATACTTGTGCTGCAGGTCTTTTGTAGAAGTAACACTTTGTCACTTCCTGCTACCGAAAAACAGTTCCAAAACTGATCTTTTTCCTCATTTTTTTCTTCTCTTTCCCTCTTTCACAAAATTAATTACAGCACCCTTCATGGAGCCCCTCAGACACACCGTTTATAATAAAACATGGCAAGTTTTTTATTATATCAACAGCTTCTACCCATTAGAGCACCCAGGTTTCCTTGAATAATGCTGCAGTGTGGATGTCTGACTTGAGTAGAGTGCTATGAAGACTTGTAATAAAACCATCACTATAAATAAGAAATGTGTCCATTATTTAGCATTTTCTCATATTCCAGTTTCAGGAGTTATCTATTTAAGTAGTTCTACATAACCAACAGTTTAAAATGCACCTCATGCTTTGAACCAGAACTCAGAGCTTATGGCTAGTAGAACAGAGGTTACCATTCTCAGTTGATTTCATGTGAAGGTTCTTGCCGCATTCTCAACAGTATTTTGTTTCTTAGGGCTTTCTGGAGGACCGTTTCCACCACATTACAACTTACCTTTATGCTATCCTGGTGCTAGGAGAACTTGTGTTATTCTGCTTAGTTGATCACCCTCCCTTCTTCTCTAAAGCTGTCAACAATCCTGTAAGTATAACATAGCTTTTCATGATGCATTGCTTCATTGCTCATACAGGAAGTTAAATTTATGGGGATATGCAGGAACATGAGTATCTGGGAGATACAAGATGCATCATTCTGTGTAAAGGTTGACAGTGTTAAAAGGTAACCAGCAGAATTTTGGATAACAGTAGTCTGTCTCTCAATGTATGTTTTGAAAAACTAAACCCCTCCTCTATCCATACTCATCTTTATTTTCATTGAAATGAGTAGGTAGGGCTCACATTACTTCCCCATGCTCTCCTGTGCAGCAGTATTCTGTTTGAGGTATGACAGAGCTCTGTGATTCAGAAAATCAATGTCTTGGAGTATGAAGAATGATATTCTTTGTTCCTCCAGCTAAGACATTATTCAAAGTCTCATTCTCCAAAATCCCCTGATCCCATTGAGCCTCCACAATACATTTACACTGTCAGGGTCATGAATGGGGTGTGTGTAACTTTGATTGCTTTTTCTGGGGAAGCACAGAAGGGAATTACATTTATGTGACGCAAGCCCTTTTCTGTATATAAATATCACCCATGTTTTTCCTCCCATCAGAATCAGTGTCCAGAAGCCAGCAGCTCTTTTCTTTCCAAAATCACATACTGGTGGTTCTCTGGGTAAGAAAAAGATGTGGTTTTGTTAGAATATCAGAAAAAAAAAAACCAAACAAACTCAAAACCAAACAAACAAGCAGCATAGGAGAGAGTGTAGAGAACCAGTAGGAAATAGCCCCTGAGTTAGTTTATGCAGTAAGGATTTAAATTCTTTATCTGGGGACTTAAGGTATTCTCACAAGATCAAATTATAAAGAATTAACTTACTTTTCTCAAAGCAGTTTAAAACATAGATTTGTGATTCTAGATAATTCTCTTCCCCCTTCCAGCTACCCTTCCAGTACCCTCCCAATCTTGAAACAGACCTCAACAATCTCAAAAGATCACTGTACAGCAACCACAGCCCTATCTTGCCTGCAGACCTTCCCATAACAAATGCTGGGCAAGGGAAAAATAGTGAGGCCCAGCCTGCTGCTTAGGAATCAGAAGTAAAATGATTACATACCTTGGGTCTAACGTCTGCTATGACAAGACCTCGTATGCATTTCACTGAGACACAGAGGAAATTAAACTGAACTTTGTCCCCCACTGCCCAAGACCCAATTGTCAGTATGGACTAGAAACTGGGGCTTACTTGCAGATCCTCATTGTATTCACGGAACATAGCATAGGGATTTGAAGCAAAACGTCTGTTCCTGAACATTCATATTTATTCTGGGAAAGGACAGCCCTGAGTAGTGTTTTATATATGTAGGTCCCTCTGTGCTCACTATGATGCACTAACTTAAAGCCTATCTGTTTTCAAAATGTTAGAAGTACCACAAATCCTTCTGTGCTTGCATTACAGCAGTCTGTGTGTTCTCCAGGCTCCTCTGGAAAGGCTGTCAGCAGTCCTTGGGGGTGGATGACTTGTGGCCAGTGAGGAAAGAGGAATCCTCTGAAGAAATTGTTTCCTGGGCTGAGAGAGAGTGGAAGAAGTGTCGTAACAGAACCCAGCAGTGAGTACTTGATCTAGAGAATGTGTCATAGGCTCAGCTGAACAGTTTCTCCCTTGCCTCTAGATGATACAAGCAAATATGCTCACTGGTGCTGGTGTGCCATCTCAGAACAGGTTCTAAGCCCCTCTATTCCCCACAGAGTGCTAGACAGACTGCTTCAGCATAAATTCAGGCTCTGACCATAAGCTCCGCTAGGTGCTTCCTATCTGGACAATACAGCAGTTGAAAGAGTCAATCCCACTGAATTATTTGTGCATTAAACAAGAAGCAGAAAAAGGGTAGCATATATAAAATGGTCCAAGTAACACTCTATGGAAACCTGGGGATCTTAAGTCTTCAGTGAGTGAGTGCTCAGTGAGTTCCCTTGTGCAAAGTCTGATTTTAAGTGTTGAAATCTGCTGGAGAACATCCCTCCATTCCTGGAAGCACAGAATTGTGATTTTTTTGTGAGAGGGATCATTTTTTTTCTGAGCGTTTTTACTGGACATGGCATGAAACCCAGTGTGAGATATTTAATCGTTTTCGAAAGCACAGGATTACCAAGCTTTCTCCAGTTGTAATTAGTTTTCTCATTGCTTCTTTCTTTAGAAAAATTGAGTCTGCTACGTTTAAAAAGGGTCAGAAGAGTGAAACTGGCATAGCAAAAGCTGAAGAGATGGAAGTTCTACTGCAGTCAGAGCAAAGTCAGAGCTGGCCCTTACTGAAAGTGTTTTGGAGCATGTTTGGAACCTATTTCCTTCTCGGCACTGCCTGCTTAGTTATTTGTGATGTCTTCTTGTTCTCCATCCCAAAGTTACTGAGGTATGCACATATTTGTAATGCATTTCTGTGACGTGCAAGATTGCTGTGTGCATAAGCTCGGACAGAGATGTCTGTGTTCCAGCAGTGGAAAGAACAGGCTCCACTGAGCCTTTTGACAACTTTACTTGATCAGGAGCGAGTTATTTGATGGTTCATACCACATCATTTGCACAGGCTGTCAGCCAGAGGCTGTAGTCTTAAGGCTTCATGTCCCCTGACTAATTCTAAAGAGCACAGCTGTGCATCCTACACATCTTAAATAGCTCCTTTAGTCAGTTGACGTAGTGCTTTGTGGACTGTGTTGGTACAACACCAATGTGACTTAGAGTATATTTTCAAGGGCAATATCACTTTTAAGTCATTAACAAAAGTTCTGGAAATATCAATGACTTCCTTAGATTATGGCTTTCAATTTGTGTATTACTGACAAATTCATAAAATTCAGGAGCCATCCTTAATACTGAAAATGAGGTCTCCCCTGAGAGGATGTTGAGATCAGAAATTGCTTCCAAACCAAGAATGGCTCAATGTCAAAAATCAGGATATTATATAATACAGGATACTCAGTGGGTTTTTTTTCCATTTTTTCTCCTATTTTACTGATAAATATCAGCCAGAAAGAATACACAAAAATCCCTGGCATTTCTGCATTTTTTGTGTGTCTGATATTCCATCAGTTCTACATGGATTCATCAACATTTTGCTCCTGTCTTGCAGCCTTTTCCTGGAGTTCATTGAAGATCAAGAAGCACCTACCTGGCATGGCTACTTCTATGCATTCAGCATGTTCCTTTTGGCTTGTCTCCAGACTCTGTTCGAACAACGATACATGTACATGTGCCTTGTTCTGGGGTTGAGACTGAGAACTGCAGTAACAGGGCTTGTGTACAGGAAGGTGAATCTGTAGCTTCCTTTCATCTTCATTCTTTTCTAGCTCTGTGTTGTTAGTTATATTGTCGGTACATTGTTCTTAACAGTATCAGGGGAGATGTTGTTAGAAACTGCTTTTGGGATGTAACTCTGTGCTATATTCATTTCTGAACACTATGTGGGAAAAATTCTATTACTTATTTTTCACTTACTCATTTTATTACTTATTTTTTTTATTACTTACCTTAAGAAAAAGCCAAAAAAAAGGAAAGAAGAAAAAGCAACATAAACTTCTTTATGGTGTAGATTATGGTTGGGGAAAGGACTAAATTCTTCATCTTAAAGTGAAGTCATAGCCCAAGCAGCAGCATGTTTTCAGTACCTAGGTTTTGGCATTTTTCCCCCTTGCTTTTGATTTTTTCCTCCTTTGTTTATAAGGAAAAGAAAGTTGTTTTATTTTTGGACCAAAGCTACTGTTTGATGGTGCTTTTGATTTCTTCTTTACCCTGTCTAGATCCTAGTTATGTCAAATGCATCAAGGAAAGCAGCAACAGTAGGTGAAATAGTTAATCTGGTGTCTGTTGATGTCCAAAAGCTAATGGATCTGATTATCTATTTTAATGGGACTTGGCTTGCTCCTATTCGGATCATCATCTGCTTTGTCTTCTTATGGCAGGTAAAATATTATGACAGTATTTATCAATCCCTTTCTATTCTAGGTATCAAAGGAAAAATGAGTTTTCAAAATTCTGCTTAGAGCAGAATTTTCTCAGCAGCATAAAGCCCTGTTTCTTAGAACCTGTTTTTGGCAGCTCACCAAATGGAAGCATGAGCCCTATAGAGACACATGATTACCAGGAAGTTTGCAGAAGCCTTTAAGACCTTCCTTTGCTACCCAGGGTGGACTGTGCCTCATGTCTGGCAGGATACTATGATGCTGGAAAATTAGTAGCCATGGTATAGGCTGTTGGAAAAGGATCATCCCTTTTCTAGTGTTGTTTACAAGTTGCATGTAGTTGCATGTAGCTGGAGCATAATTAACACTATTTGCTAGTATACACACCATTTGTGTAGAAAATACTTTTATCTCTCTAGGTATACCAGCACTCACCTCTCCAGCAAACGTAAGCCATCTGATACAACTAAACCATTTCTGATATGTAAGTCATTGTGAGCCCTGGTATCCAAGACCTGTCCCAAGAGTACATGGCACAGTATAATTCTACCATTTCATCTCACTAGTTGATGTAAATTCCGACAGGCTGGGTTGTTTGTGCTGCTAGAATAGTTTGTTGTGGTTTTGTTTTTTGAGCAAAGGCTGGGTTTTGTTTCAGGTCACTTAGGCCAGCCACAAGATGTCCTCCTTAAAACATCCAAGAACAGATTGGAAGAACAAATTACTTGAATTGCCAGCTGTGCCTCTGGATCTCTTTCAACACTCCTCTAGTTCCTAAAAGGGTAACAAATAAATTCAGCAGAGCATGATGACATGATTTACCCTGGCTGGAGGGTTAACAATCCAGAGTGCTTAGGGAGCACAGTTCCCAGGAAAGGCAAAAGCAAGATTAAAGCCTTAGCCATGAGGGATGTTAGGCATAAATTCAAGTAAGGCAGACGGTAGGCAAGGGGAATGTAAAACAGTAATTTCTAGTAATCACTGGAAGTTCTTCCTCTTTCATTTTCTCTCTTGGCAGCTTCTTGGGCCATCTGCCTTGACTTCAATTGTGGTATTCCTTTTTCTTTTGCCTCTGAATTTTGTGATCACAAAGAAGAGGAGTCAGTTTCAGGTACATTTTGCTTGATAAAAATGAAGTGGTTTACTGACTTAAATTATATGATGGCTTAATATTTATTATTCATGCTTATCATGGATTTGAAGCCTGCAGATGTTCTTAAAGTTTACAGTAAGCTCTTGCATGTTCAGCCTTTTACCTGGTTTGCCAACTTTTCTGTGGTTTATATGAATTGCCAGAAAAATAAAGCTCTGAAGAAGAAAAGCAAAGTATTTCCCAGCCTGGAAGATTATGAATAAAAATAGTATACACAGCTCAACTGCAGGGAAATTTACTCAGGATTCATAGGCAGGATCAAGGTGCTCTTTTCAGAATAATTGCATTGTTAAACATTGAACCTATTAAATGATAAAACTCAGATATTTGTTACAGGAGACCCAGATGAAACATAAAGATGAGCGAGCCAAACTCACTAGTGCCTTTCTCAGTGACATTAAAGTAATCAAACTGTATGGCTGGGAGAAAACCTTCATGGAGAAAGTGCTTGGTATCCGGAAGCAAGAACTTCAGGCCCTAAAAAGTTCTCAGATTCTTTTCTCAGCATCTCTAGCTTCTTTCCATTCATCAACTTTCCTGGTGAGTGGTTCACTATGTATTTCACTATATGTTTCCTGTATAAAACATGCATCGTTACTTCCATTTCTCTTTGCACTACTACCTGCACAGATTTTTCATGTGGGACAGTTAAAGATAATATCTGTGGAGCACTGGTGGTGTCACGAGAATTGCTGAGTCCCAGTGGAATCAGCCACACAGACATTTACTGTCATAACAGTTCCAGGGGCAAGTCATCTGGTCTGGCAGTGTGTTCCAGGCAGACTGAGCCTCCTGTGCAAGAGCCACCTGAAGACCTCATGGCACAGTCAGTAGCTACACAGGCCACTTTTGCACTTGCTGTTGCAGCTCAGCTATGTGTGTTTTCTATGGGAAATGGCTGTGCTTTTACCTTGCTCTGGTTGCAGCAGCAAAAATTCCTTAAATGTCAAATGATCAATCTTTGTTTTGTCACCAACATCCAAGACCTTTGCCTATGATACTTGCAGGACAGGTACTGCGTATATGTGCGATAGCCTGGATTTAACTAAATGTGTTCCAAAGTCTTTAGGAAGGGGCATGTCACCCTTGAACTATTCTCTTCCATGTCTGAAGCAAATGGTTTACTTTTCCTTTGCTTCCTTTCAGATTGCATTTGTCATGTTTGCTGTGTACACCCTGGTCGATAACACACATGTCCTGGATGCTCAGAAGGCCTTTGTGTCTATAACATTGATCAACATCCTCAACACTGCGCACTCCTTCCTGCCATTCTCCATAAATGCTGCTGTTCAGGTTAACTGCAGGCTATGTTCTTTTTCCTTTGGCCATAAGTGGGTTTCTTACATATCACCATTAACAGGTAAACGTTGGGATTTCTCAGGGCTCTGAATGTCAGCTATTTAATTGCTATTTGAAACAGTGAAACAGTGAAGTGCAAGGACTTACAGCTAAAGGTATTTTGTAATAATGTTTTCTCAGAAAGGCTTCAGATATTAACAAAATAGCAGGAATAGCTCTTAGGTCTTTTGGGGCCAATCATAAGCACCATTAGATCCCAGAAGTGCTTCTAGTTCTGTTTTTAATCATAGAAATTAGAATAGATGAGCAAAATCTATGCTAGATCAGTGGAAACCCTGCTAGCACAGGTCAAAGAGAAAAGCAAGTCATTGTCCAGTAAGAAATTAGGAAATTAATTTCCCTCTTGCACCCCAAGAAGACTGTCATAACTCTTCACATATAGGAGCAATCACTGGAAAGACTGCAGGATGAATTGGAGAAAAAAACACTAATTTTCACTGTGTGAACATAAGGGAAGATGCAGGGAAGAATATGGGGTTTTGCTGAGCCAAGTGGAAATAATGCCAGTTGACATAAGAGCGAGCTGCATTGGTCCATCTAAGCCTACAGCATCTGCAACATAGCACTTAATCAGCATTCTAAGTGGATCTTCAAGTTGAGTCTTCACTTTGGGTTTTAGCTGCCTATCCGTTCTAAACTTTACTCTTTTTTATGCATCTTCATTTCAGGCCAAAGTTTCTTTAAACCGCTTAGCAGCTTTTCTAAATCTGGAAGAACTGAGTCCTGAAAGCTCAAGCAGAAATACTTCTGACTGTGGTGAGTTTTTGTCTTATGAGAGGAATTAGCTTCCATTGATCAGCTTCCGCTCTTAGGGTGCCTACCATAGTCATAAGAGAAAAATGTTTGCCCCTTACTGTCACTTTATCTCTTAGGCTCAATTATTTCTAATGATGAAATCTAATCTGGTAATTAACTCCTTTTCATACTTAAAGTTCATTTTATGTAATATAAATACACACTGAAACATAGTCACATAAGTAGAGGTGTATCTGTATCTACCTTTGCATTTACAAGTGTTCTTTCTATTTCTCCTCATATTTCAGCACAGGCAAGTGTCACCATAAGAAATGGGACTTTTTGCTGGAGCAAAGACGTTTCTCCTTGTCTCAGAAGGTACAGACCTTCCTTTAGTCATCTCAGTTCTGTAGGTCAGGGTGGATGCTGAATGAACTAATTCCTTGGGGCCTTGGTGTGAAATATCTAAAGAATTCTGAGTTTGCTTCGTATTTAACATTGAATTATGAAAATTGTGAAGTCAGACAGAACGTAGTCTTACTTTTATGCTTGAAAGCACATAAATAGGAAGGTTCCTGTATCTGGATACTGCCTTAATATAGAGACTACTTTCTTTACACAATTTTCTTGTCCAAATATGAAATTACAGCAATTTAAGTCAAAAAAAGTAGAATGCAGATGTTATATGTGCTTATTTCAAAAGGCGTTGCCATTTTAGAGAAGAAACAGTGTTGAAAAGTTCTGATCAGGAGTGTTTCACATCCAGTGCTTTGGGCTAGCCGATCTCCATAGTGGTGATCTGGGTTTTAAACTCAGATGGGGATGCAGATGAAGACTTTCTGATTGGAGGCATCTTTGAAGCGGTGACTCCTGCTGCAAAATCTCAACGTGATGGAAGACTAACCCTGTGCAAGTGGGGCCTCAAGTATGAAATTAGAAGGTTTAGTTGGTACATTTTAATTGCTACAAAACAACAGCAAGATTTTTGGTGATTTTCTTTTCAGAAATTGTATCTAAAAGGTGATAAGAGACTAATCTTTTCTCAATAGGATAGATCTTACCATGCCCCAAGGCTCCTTGCTTGCTGTGGTTGGCCAGGTGGGTTCAGGAAAGTCCTCTTTACTGTCAGCCTTACTTGGTGAGCTGGAGAAGGTGGACGGCTGCGTGAGTGTGAAGGTAAATTTTCCCCTGAGTGTTTGCTTCTAACTAGGCTGTCTGCAGGAATAGTGAGGTATTAACCAAGGCATCAGATACTTGATGAAAGCCCATTTACTGCTGAAATTTAATAGAGGCAGTATGTAGCAGTCCACATTTAATTATCTGAAGGTGCTTAAGACTTCTCAGATTAGGCTGGCATTTAAGAATGGGAATCAAATTCCATTTCCCACTCTAACAGTGAACTGAAGTGGCATCCTGGTAAACCACATCATGTACTTGCACCTCCATTTCTTTCTCTGTAAGATAATAAGAGTGCAGACTCATGTTTTGTAAAGCCCTCCAATTTCAGATTTCTGTAAATCTAATTGGGAGAGTTTTTCTTCAAAGACAGGTTCCCACACTGTCAAGCTGAGCTTATGAAACAGATTGTTAACATTGTTCCACTTCCATTTTTATAGGACACTGTAGCTTATGTCCCCCAGCAAGCATGGATACAAAATGCTTCAGTGGAAGACAATATTCTCTTTGGGAAAGAGATGGATGAAACATGGTTCAATACAGTGATAGATGCTTGTGCACTGCAACCCGATTTGGAGAGCTTCCCTGCAGGGTGGAAGAGTGAAATAGGAGAGAAGGTACTGGCTTAGGTTGATACTTTGGCCAGCTTTTCCATGAGTAGCTACAACTTTGGGTGTCCTGCAAAACACCTACAAAAGCACTAAACTTGGAGGAGGCAGGTTCTCAGTAATTTCTGAGAAGTCAGGCCATGATTTAATGGGGTCTGAAGCTCACCTCCTGACAGTTAACCTACCTAGAGATACAAGAGATGCTTAAGACAAAAAACAGCAAATCCAGGTCATTCTTGGATCATCTTTTGCAGGAGAGTGGAGTTGCTCAAGAAAATCCATCTCTGCATCTCAAAAGCACTATTTGGATAGAAGGAGGAAGGAAAGGAGGGAGGTGGACTGATATAAAAATAAGGAAGTCATAACAGCACAAATGGAGCCAACAATTGGCAAATATGCTGTAGCTTTGGAATAAACACTCTCAATACGTTTTTACAGGGAATAAATATATCTGGAGGGCAGAAGCAAAGAGTGAATCTTGCTCGTGCTGTGTACCAGAAGGCTTCAATTTACCTGCTCGATGATCCCCTCTCAGCTGTTGATGCCCATGTTGGACAGCATATTTTTAAACATGTTCTTGGACCCAATGGCTTACTGAAAGACAAGGTATGTTATAAATCTTGAACTTTAAAAGGTGGTACAATGTATCTAATTAACAAGGCCTCAAAACGTTTCCAGTAAGTTGGATTACTCACTTTTTTGCTACAGGCAGCAGGTACTGCTGTTAGCAACAGTGAAATGGATAACCTCTGCAGTCCATACAGCATATGGAAGTCCTGCAGTGAATCTCACCTAGGAGGAGGAAGACTGAAAAGTTCAGTTCTCCTGAAAGACTGTCTTTATCCTCATGCAAACCACATGCCTAGTTCCAGCCTTACTTCTACAGCAAGTTTATAGTTTGGTCCTCCACTGACATTATCCTATTCCCTTTCTGAAATTTATTTCTAGTATAGTTAGGAAGAGCTGACTTGTCTCTTCCAGCTTATTGTATCTTATCGTGGTGTCTAATCCCATCACTTTTCAATAGTTCAGTGGCACTATTACAGTTCTCATCACCCAGATACTCATCACTTAAACTTCATTATTAAAATCCATCTTAAGCACTTCCATTCTCTTTTGCATTGGTTGCATTTTGTTGTTCTTTGGTATTCCTCTGCTGTCAAGCAATCTGGATAATAAATGTGGTTATATGAGAAAGGAGGCAAGAGCAGCTCTGTTTGCTTCATGGTATAAATTGCCTACCAATATTTGATTCGGTTTCACATTGTAAAAGGAAAATAGGTAATTTCTTTCATAGAAAGTCCAATTAAAGCACATATGTCTGGTTACAAATACCTTTCTCTTCATGTGGATCATTCGCAAGTATCAGAATGTAATTATTGTATTGAAACAGAAAGACTGGCAAAAAAAAAGGTAGTAGACTTAGTACTCAAAGGGCTAGCCTGGGACTTAAGGTTTCACCTCCTGTCCTCACTCTTCACTGTGCATGACACAAAGCAAGTTGATTCACCCCTCCAATCACAAGTTCTGTACTTTCAAAATGGGCTCAAAACCGTGTTGCAAAGATAAGCTTCATCAAAGAGACAGTCAGAAGTACTAGGAATAACAGAAGTATCTCCCAGTTAGCAAAAATGACACTGAATACATGTCTTTCTTCAGAAAGCAGCTGACTGACCCAGCTTAAGTGAGCAGGGGAACACCAGAACAATTGTAACTGTTCCCTCTTTATTCAGACTCGTGTGCTGGTGACTCACACCATTAACATTTTGCCTCAAGTGGATAACATTGTTTTCCTGGTGGATGGAACAATCTCAGAAATTGGTTCCTACCAAGAACTCCTACAGAGAAATGGGGCCTTTGCAGAATTCCTTCATTCACACGTTACAGCAGAAGAGAAGGCAGACACTGGTTTTCCAGGTAACCCGAATGAGTTGCTATCATTCTTCCTAGGTCTATCATTCAACTGTTTCCTTAGTAATATACTGGGGGAGAAGAGGCATCTGCTGCTGCTCACAGCTGGGAAGAGGAAAAAGAGAATAAAACTGGAAAAGACATTCTTAAATTTGGGGGGGTTTATGGACATTTAAAGCCAAGATTCCATCACAGTAAGCTGTCACTTTGAGTGGGGAAAAGTATGCTTGTCAAGTTAGCCTGACTCATCACCTTAAAACTGGGTCTTGAATAAGCAGTTCTATCTTAGTAGACAACAGCCATGCAGTAAACAGAATTACCCACTGCATGTGCTATTCTTCAAGCCTCACCTTGGTATTTCTACCCTTGGAAACAATTCTTTGTAATGAATCTTTGTATTACCACTCTTTCAAAGGCTATACAGTGCAAAACAGGATTCTAAAGCAATTTTTTTTAAAAGCATTTATTTCACAGGTATAGCAGACACCAAAGGCACCATCACCTCTAGAAATGGTTCTTCGCAGGAGAAGCTCTTTAGGTAAGCTTGAAATTGTCTCAGATACCGAAAAACTTGCTCCAAAAGTTCCTACAAGCCTATGTGGAGGCTCTTACTGATACAATACAAGTTTGGGATTGATCTGTAAATTAATAATAAGAGCAAACTAGCAAAGGTCAAGAATAGATAAGAAACTGCTCTCGAATGTGGAGGTTGACTAACATTTTCTCCATATTTCACAAGCAGCCAGAGTTTATTCCAGAGCTCACATACAAGGCACGTTGATACATTTGCTTGCTGTTCCCTTCCCAGTGAGGCTGTAAGGTCTGACTCATCTTAAAACTAGCCATGCCTACTGAATGCTTTAAGCCTCTGCTTGTTAATAGCTTGGCAGAACCCAGTCCCTGTCACAAGTGTGGACAATCTTTGGGGTCACTCTGGAGGACCCTGAAAACTGCAGCCCTCAAAATAGGCACAGATACAGGGATGGATGGGCAAGGAGATACAGCTTTAAAATACTCATTGCTTTGGCTAAAAATTGAAAGGATTTTTGTTTTCTTTGTTAAGTGACAATTCAGTCAAATCTTCTGCTATGGGAAGAGAAACCGCTCCTGGAAGTCAAGACTCTACCACTGCTGCAGCCACCAAAGGAAGATTAACCAAGGATGAAAAAACTCAGCATGGCAGGGTAAGCAAAGCACCTTCCTATAAAGGCAAAGACACGTACCATGGGTTCATTACTGACTGCTCACAGCAGGCAGGTCAGCTCACTGCCTAAGTTAAACTCCAGAGAAGTCAGCTGAGCTATACAAGTGTGCCCTATAAGTGAGACACAGTCATGTCAGCATTATTTTACATAGCAACTTCTCTGCAAACTGTATCTCCTCTGGATGCCCTGATCCAAGCACCAGTACCAAAACAGAAATAATGCACATACATTGCAGAGCACATTATGGAAATGAGAGGGAAATGTTTCACTCTAGGTTCATACTTCGATTTATGCAGCCTACCTGAAGGCGACAGGCTTACCATTGTGTGTGTACATCATGCTGTTGTTCACGTGTCAGCAAGTGGTGTCATTTTTTCGTGGTTACTGGCTCAGCATGTGGACAGATGACCCTATTCACAACGGGACACAACAGCACATAGAGCTGAGAGTTGGAGTCTTCGGTGCACTAGGAGTCGTTCAAGGTTCGTTTAACTTGCTCACCTAGCTCTCTGTGTTTCCATCTCCCTTTCCCATATCCAGGATGTTTTCTCAGAACATAAACAAATTCATACCCATGGGCTTTTAGCCTCCCAGGCTTTTGGCACCAGCCCTAAAGGTTTGGCATGGGACCTAAAATTACAGGCTCTGACGCACAGAGAGGATTTCTAAGGGATCTAAACAATATTTCTAGTGTTACTGCCTGAAATTCTACTTTGTGGTATGCCAGAAGTGTTCTCCTGTGCCTTTCAGCAGACCATGATCAATAGTGTCTTCCTCTATATTTCCTGCTGAAACTAGATGACCTGAGCCCTTAAAAAACATTCATCAGTGGAAGAACTACAGCATCCTTATTTTTCTTACCTGCCCCCTTGAATCCAACATCTGGATATCTTTCTTCCTCTTACTGTCCCCATTCTTCCAATATAAATTAATCATATCAAAGTGCAAGCATGGTGGCTCTTTTCCATGCCAGACTAAATCTTGGCTTAGGTCTTTTGAGTGTAAAAGAGAGGGGAAAAGAGGAACTTGTGGAATTCTACATTTCTTTAAGTCTTTCTCTTTTAATATGACCACAGTTCTTTTGGTTACTCTTAAAAAAGAAATTAAAAAAAAAAAAAAATCACTTGTTTCAGGACAGAAATTAAATCTGGAAAAATCTCAGCCCAAGTGACAAAAGATTGAAAAATTTTTGAACAAGTTGAAACAAGTGGGAAGGGTTTGGTACCTTTTTGTGTAACTGAATCCATAGGCAGGAAATCTGAGATTCTGAGTAATTCAGTGTAATTCTAGCCAAGCTTGTTTTGTGAGGAATAAAGAATTTATCCTGCATGTTTAAATTGCTGAATCCATGGCCCCTATCAAACTTACTCAGGAGGTCTTCTGCCTCGCTGTAACTACCCTATGGAAAGGATAGTTTACAGTGCAGCTATGAGGCTTGGTTGAATTACTATCAAAGGGAAGGTCAGCTCCTTTCACTAGGACAGTATTCACAGTACTAAGTGAAAAGTGTGATATTGCAAAGGAGAACTCCAAGGTGAGTTTGTTCTGTGGTTTAGTTCTATCCCAGCCAAAACCAGGACACCTAGCAATAATGATTACTTTTGATATTGCAGCCCTTGGCAGATTTGCCTCCACAGCAGCAGTCCTTCTAGGTGGCGTGTTAGCATCGCAGAAGCTGTTTCTGCAGTTGCTGAGGAACGTTGCTAGATCTCCAATGGTCTTCTTTGAACAAACACCCATTGGAAACTTGCTGAACCGCTTCTCCAGAGAAATGGATGCTATCGATTCTGTCATTCCTGACAAGCTGAAGTCCTTGCTGGGATTCTTGTTCAACTTGCTGGAGATCTACCTTGTGATTATAGTGGCTACACCGTGGGCAGCCATGGCCATAGTGCCCTTGACTCTTCTTTATGCTGCTTTCCAGGTAGGAGGAGCTCATAGAGATACACAGACAGGAGAAGCTGAAGCAGAATAGCCATGTCCCTGCAAAATGCCTCCTTTTATTTCTTTGGAGTGGAGACATGCAGAAACTAGTTTCATCATCTCAAATTGCATCGGAAGAAGAGCAGTGTCCATGGCTCTTCCCACATCGCCTCAGCCTTCCAAAGCATCCCAGAGACCTCACAAAGAGGCTTGTGCTTTTCCAGTACCCAGATCAGACCCTACCTAGAGTTACATTCCTTGTCTCCATTAATGGAAATGCAGTCATATGAAGACCAAAAGCATTTTGTCTTTCCTCAAGAATTCCTACACTGTTTTTTAATATATCCGTGTATGCCATACAGCTTCCCCATTGGGCTCTGAAATGCTTTACCAGCTAAGACTGACAGAAGGGCAAGTAAGGGTGCAAGAACAGAGTTCTCCATCAAGCAAAGAGCTGGTCTGCAGGAGAAAGTCAGTGTGAGCGTAGAGGCTTTGCGAGTTCCGAGTACCCTGGCTTCTCTGCATTTACAAACCACAGGGTAATTCTTAATGAAGATAGGACACAACACAGGCAGAATCACTACCTCACCTTTTAAGGGGCATCTCTTTCCTGCACATTAGGTTTTACAACACTAGTATAGTGTGTACTTTTGCACTTGTTGAAGCCTTCCCAAATTTTCTGTGGGGCACCTCCATGGAAGTCATAATCCTTCTAACCACTTTCCCTTCCACTTCCCTGTGTACCAGCACTTCTACGTTGTCACCTCCTGCCAGCTGAGACGCATAGAGGCAGCCAGCAGGTCACCAATCTACTCCCACATTTCAGAAACCTTCCAAGGGAGCAATGTGATCCGTGCTTACAAGGACCAGGAGAGGTTTATTTTGAAGAGCAATTTCCTAGTGGATGAGAATCAGCGAATATGCTTCCCTGGAGCAGTTGCTGACAGGTACAGATCTGTACTGTGAAAAAAAATATATGTATATATTACTCTAATGGCCTTGGTGAGTGGAGATACGAGGCTTCTAGTATATGCAGAACCCAGCAGACAAAGCTATCAGCAGTTGGTCACAAAACAAATGAGTACCACCAGGAGTAAGAGATGTTAAACCAACTCATCCGATAAACTGTTTGCTGGCTGCTCTGATCCGAAAGACCTTGGAGAAAATCGTAACAAGACCACAAGCAAACTAGTTTAGGCAGATTGTAGCCATTCTAGAGCTCCAAGGTAGCTGGATAAGAGCAACCAGAGCATGACAAGCTTTGTTGAGCATCCTGTACTCCAGGAGCTCCACAAGTGTTTTGCAAAGTAATCACAGATTCTGTTGGGAGAAGGGCATCCAGCAACAGCCTTGTACTCTCCTTCTCTTGCAGGTGGCTTGCTACAAACCTGGAGCTTCTAGGCAATGGCATCGTGTTGTTTGCAGCACTATTTGCAGCAATGGGCAGGACATATCTTAGCCCAGGAACTGCTGGCTTCTCCATTTCCTATGCTCTTCAGGTAACTCAATGTTAAAATAATGCCATGCTTGCCTTTTAGCAAAAGAAGCTTGCATTTTAATTTCTGCTACCATTTAATTTCTAAGAAGTCATTAATTATTTCTGTGGTTTGCTAGATGCCTTCTCCTACCAAAGCCTGCTGTCATTGCTGAAACCCAGAGCATCTGTTGCACATGGCCCCTTAGAGAATGAACCTCAAACACATGCACCAGCCATCTTTTTCCTCCTGTACCTGAACTGACACAGAAGTCTCAGCATGTTCAGAGCAACTGAAGCAAGGACTTCAGTGTCTGTCTTGCTTGTAGGCTAGGTACACAGTAGCCTAAAAAACAGCTACACTTTCTTTTAGCATCCAAGTAGTAGCATATCCTTCTCTAGAGACTGTCTGAGAAGCTATGGGGGGAACTGGCTAGGTTCTTTAAACACAGCTTTACAAACTTTCACGGGAATCCATGGCTATTTTTTAGCTTTTAAGGGATGATTTCTGAAATAATTAGCTGATAAGGAGGTCTTCATAAATAAACACTAAGACAAAGTATCAGGTACCTTGGAAACACAGGTCAAGACTTATTTTATCTGCCCTACTGCTTCTGTTTATTTTTGCTAGATAACTGGTGTTCTGAACTGGATGGTGCGCTCCTGGACAGAAATAGAGAACAACATTGTTTCTGTGGAGAGAGTGAGAGAATACTTGAGGACTCCTAAGGAGGTAGCTAATCAGCTATTGTCCTTACTAGCAGAGGTCCAAATGGGTGCAAACTAAACAAGTAACTTCCCTGTTCCACCTGGACAAACACTCTAGTTTTCCCCTTCTAAAAGGCCAGTTATGTTTCCCTTCAAGAAAGGGATAAAAAAGGGCATTTGTTTTTTATCTAGCTGACTAGATTTGTTTTATAACCTCTGATCATTATTATTTCCTTCAGAGTTAAACATTAGATTGCCATTAAAATAGCTTCACTTGGTAACACTCATGGAATGAGCTGTATTTTCTGCCTATATTTGGACTATTTATTGTGCGAGTTCAGATGCAACCTTCTGATAACTGATGGTTGCTAGATAGCCTTTTAGCCACTAGAAGTCTCCAGTGCAATCATTTCTATTCTGTAATCATTAAAATTATTTCTCCATATGCTGCCCTGAGAGCCTATTAAAGGAGACTTTCATGGTCCTGTTCACAGGGCCATATAAATCTTTTATTATTGAACCACTCAAAATGTCAGAACTCTGACATGCAAACAAATGTTTATCCCCGTTTTCACTTAAGACAATTGGCATCTTTGTATAAAGTCAATGTTTGCAATATGAAAGTTAGAGGCCTTTTTCTCTGGTGAACACAGTAAACAGATTGGGGGAATTTGGCACAGATGTCTTCATAAGCTGCTTGTTTCAGTATGGCTACTCGATTTGGTAATTTAAATCAGCTTTATACATCGCTGTTTGTTTTCATCTCTTTAGGCACCCTGGACTCTGAATGACAAACTTCAAGGTCAGGTTTGGCTCACTGAAGGAAAAATTGAATTTAGAAACTACAGTTTGCGATACAGGCCAAATTTGGAGTTGGCACTGAAGCATGTCAATCTAATCATCAAAGGGCAAGAAAAGGTAAGCAAAGCCACTTGGATCAGAAGAGCTACGGAGTATGAGCAGTGCTTTGCAGTGATCAGAACGGGGTAGATAGAGTCCCTGCCCTGCACCAAGGTACAGTAAAGTATGAGCCCATCTACTGCACTGCACACCTCTCCTAGTATGAAGTAGTATTTCCAGGATTGTTGCATATATACATGCAACATTCTTCTGAGTGAAGTTTCATTTCTCAGAAGGTTAGGAGTTATACAGCAAAGGAATTTCACTTTTTAAATCAAGGCCCTGTTCTAGCTGCTAAGTCTTGTAGTTACTCTTCCCATCAAAATCTTTCAAGATTCCTTTTCATACAAAATGACTATGTGAATCTTGAACAGCCTTGAAGATCTCATCCATCCAAAGCTGTCTCTCTTCAAAAGGCCAAGAGGAACTACATGATAGGTCTGTCCAACTTTGGAAAACACTCAGTATCAAAACTAAAAGGTTTCTGTTGCTCTTTATAGATAGGCATAACTGGAAGAACAGGAGCTGGGAAATCTACTCTTGCTGTGGGATTGCTGCGATTAGTGGAAGCTGCGGAAGGAGTGATCCTAATTGATGGACTAGATATTGCTCAACTAGGTCTCCATGACCTTAGATCCAAGATAACTGTCATTCCCCAGGTATGAAATTAATTTCCAAAATGCTTCAGCAGTGTTGTAGGTCTTAACACCTAAGAAAAGTTTAAAGATTCTCTGAGAGGAGGGACATTCGGAAATTTCAAAGTTGGAAATAACCTCTATGCCACGCTAGTCTCCTGTTCAATGTAACATTAGCCACAGACTTGCACCCAGCAGGGAAAACTGGAGAGCTCATTTTTGTAACTCATTTCAGGAGCTGTTTGTACTGTCTCTGTGTTCAGGATCCAGTCTTGTTTTCTGGCTCCCTAAGAATGAATCTTGACCCATTAAACCAGTACACTGATGCAGACATCTGGACAGCTTTGGAACTGACTCAGCTCAAGAACTTTGTTGCAGATTTGCCAGATCAGTTGGAACATAAGTGCACTGACCAAGGGGAAAACCTAAGGTACCTTATCTGCAGAAAGACAGTGGCAGGGCAGTGCTAGCCCGTAGTCTAGGAGAACATGGAGCTAGTGGGACAAGGAGTCCAAGTCATGAAAAAAGAAAATGGTACCCAGACAGCAAATTGCTGCATTACTGTCCTGTTTAGCAACAAGAAATCAAGTCATGGGACATCAAGTGGGAGACCTCTGATACTTAATCATTGTGGTGACTTGTGTTTGTGAAGTACTTAAAGCACTTGAATCCTGTTCCAAGTGCAGATCTCCTGGGGCTATAGTAATACACTCCCTTCATTTACTTAGGCTGTTTCATGCTGTTACCTGCAGTGCCACCAGCCTCAATCACCCTTTCAGGGAAAGGGAACAATCACCTTTTTATTACTATTTTCAAATTAATCACATATTCTGACCAAGGGAATACACTCCGTTTACCATCCCTCTTCTTACTTGCAGCACTGGCCAGAAACAGCTGGTTTGTCTGGCCAGAGCACTTCTTCGGAAAGCCAAAATCCTCATTCTGGATGAGGCCACAGCAGCAGTAGATTTAGAAACTGATCTTCAGATTCAGTCCACCCTGAGGACTCAGTTCAAAGACAGCACAGTGTTAACAATAGCTCACCGGATAAACACCATCACGGACTGCGACAGGTAATACCTTCATCCACTTACCTAAGGAGTGATGACAGGTAATACCTTCATCCACTTACCTAAGGAGTGATGAAATACAGACACAGGCAACCTGTGTGAACGAGACAAACCACACAGCATTCATAACAACAATTTGATTTCTGTCCTTTTCTTTAAATCTCAAAGCTTTGTCTTAAATCAGCTAGGCACCAGCAGGTTAATCAAAGATCATTTATTCCCACATGGTGCATTTCATGCTGTGTCATACCCCTCTTTGCCCCTCACTGACAGGATGACTACAGCCTTGTGTCATCTTAAAATGGTGAAACTAAAATACATGTTCACAAATTTTACTCCAGTCTCAATTGCCAAACAACTCTTCCCCCCCCCCCCCCCCCCCAAACTCTGTTCTTGAACAGTCACTCATCAGAAACCTATTTCTGTCCCACAGCTGTTTCCCAGCTGAAAAGCTGCTGAAAAGCTTGGTTGAATAACAAGCAAGTACAGCAATTTATTTTAGAAATCAATGGAAATAACTGAAGTTTATTATAGCTGCTGGTATGTCCCCAAGCTTACACTTCTGTTTTAATGTTCACAGGATTTTAGTCTTGGAAAATGGTCGGATAGCTGAATTTGATACTCTGGAACACTTAATAGCTCAGAGGGGACTGTTCTACAAACTGATGGAAGAATCAGGCTTTGCATGACTCACTCATGGAGTATGCCACAATGCCACCCATATCAGGAATAATTCATCTCGTAATCGAGTTGTTATCTTGGTTTCACTCTAAAATGCATTGCACAACCAAATCTTGGTTGAGCTACAACTGCAGTAAGCAGATGAAAAGGGATGACTTGGGATGGAGGTTATTTCCATAGGAAACTTAGCAATTCCATTTTCATTGTTTCCAGATACCAAAACTTTACTCCTCTGTTGCAAGTGAGCCAATATGAACTTATAATACCTTGTTGCTTTTATGGTATAAAAGCAAACAAGACAAAAGACTACAGCATGTCCAGTTACAGTATAAATGAAGTCCGACTATGCTGCCATACTTAAAAGATTGCACAGATTCTTTTTGAAAGCCAACAAGGTTTTACAGACAGCAAGCAAGAATTTAACTGATAGCAGGGAAACTTAACTGTTTACAGCTTGTCCTGAGTTTCAGGCAGAACAAATTTAGTCTTTTGACAATGTTCTAATGACTGCACATCTGAATGCCGTTCTTACAGATGTGGACTCCAAGGCAGCAGCTAGATCTGGTCACCCAAAGTGCACAAGCATGGGGATAGCAAAGAAGAGAAAGAGGGATGCCACCAAGCATGAGAGAGAACGGCTGCCTATGGGCTCCATCTCTTTCTGTGTCAGCTTTAGAGGGGCCCTGAGTAAATCATGCTGTGCAGAGGACTAACAGACTGCTGGAGGAAGAGAGCCAGCTTAGATACAGGCTCTCTGATGCAGGATAGAGTAACTTGGCTGGGAGTGGGGAGCAGTGTGTCATTCCTTCTGCTTGAAGGCTTGGAGAAGTCCTACTGCCAAATGCCGGTTGGTCACAGCAGTGCATGTGCAAATGCCAGCACCATGTCCAGACTGAATTTGGCCACAAGGAATATTTGTGTGGTGGGAAGCATCCTCCTCCAGTCTCTGCAGCGTGGCAGTCCAGCAGATAGGGAAAGTATCAGGGACTCACTCTCCTGTCAGCCTGGTGGTTCATTCCTGGTTTTTCTTGTTGCATGCAAGTTTACCTCCTGCATGTGCCTCTGTCATGGACATCTTCCAGATGTTGCTTTAACAAACCAAAGCAGCAGCTGAAAACAAAGCCTTCCTGGGCTGCCCGCAGTGCCAAGGAGCTGCAGTCAGAGCTGTCCCCAAGTCTCTCCTCAGGAATCACAAGACGACATGACAAACAATCACACTGTGAAATACTGCTGTTACTGTGACTTTTGTTAAAGCACTTAATTTTCTAGAAAGTTGAAATAAAACCAGAATCAAGTATTGAAATGGGTCTCTTCAATAAGCTAAAGTAAATGAAGAGTATAAAAAGGAGTAATGGGGGAGGGCATGGGAAAGTTCAAACTGGCAAGAGTTGAGCCAGACCAACAAAACCTAGCAGTTTCTTACCCAAGAGCTGTTTTGTAGGCTGTTCACCCACATTAAGAGCAGTTAGCAGTTTCTGCTGAACAAATGCCTGCTGCTATCCTGCTGCTCAAACACCACGAAAGAGGCAATTACTTTCTCCAAACCTTACTCAAGGGCAGAGACAGAAGAAAAATTCAAACACCAAATGCAAGTTATGAGCACTCAAAAAGTTTGTCTCAAAACCAGGAGCATCTAGAAGTAGTGAGGTAGAGATAAGTTAGGTATTTTTTCTTTTTAACTGAGGTCAAAGAGAAACAGACGAGACCATGTTGCTGGGTAATTCTGAGACAGACATCTTTTAGCATACCATAATCTCTGATATAAACATATTCCGAATGCTTGCTTTCCGTGCCTAAGTTGGTAATGAAGAGAGAAGGCAACAGAAGGGGAAAATAATCAAAACATTCTTTCACACTGGTAATCTTAGAAAGGGCGCAGTTTTGCTGTTGGCTTGCACAAGGTAAGAGCAGCAAAAATACCATCAGCTTTCACACATCAAGCTGTGCTGAAAAGGCAAAAGGGAACTAGATGATCTTAAGGTCCTTTCCAACCCTAACTATTCTATGATTCCCAAAATTACATGTGACAAAAACCCCCATGTTTCAGATTAGCCAGAGTCCTCAGCTTTATGTCCAAGTGATACTGTAAGTGGCAAACGGGGAGTTCCAGTCTCACAAGAAAAGTAATAGTCATCAGAAGGAAGTTATCTGGAACTGGTTAAAGCAAAATATATAAAGGAGTTAATGCTTGGAGATACTATCCTCTCCTGAAAATCTAGTTCAAGGAACAGAAAGCACTGTTTAAAAGGACAGGCCTGTTGGGTCTTTCCAAATGTACTTCTTAGACTATTTGATTGAAATTTGCAACTAGCACAGGAGGTAACTACAGCAGGCTCAGAACTATGCTAAGAACCTGTTTCGTAAGTTGCACTGAATAAATTTTAATATTAAGAAATAAAAGCCTGCCCAACATCTCCAGCCATCTGAATATCAAGAAGACCTCAAGAGGAGCGCCTGGACTTGCCCCATCTACACATTTGCAGCGTTCATTTTTAATAGCTGTTGTGCAGCACAAGTGCAACATACACAGAGCAGCTGTGTTTAGCTCAGCCCAAATAAAACCCACTAATCTAAAGAGGGTTTATTAACATCTCAGTGGCTTTCCCACTCTATTTTTCTCTTTGGAGCCATGAGGTCAAGGGCTTAATTAGTACTAGCACTGTTCCAGTTGTCTGTCCAATATGGACATCAAGAGTTAGGGCTTTCAATTCCAATTTACTTCATTTTTTCCTTTCCTTTTTCCTCCTCATTTAAGGCTATCTCAAACAAAGTAAAAGCACAGCCTTATGTAGGAAAGAAACATGACATTAAAATACTTGCCCCAAGATTCCAAGTTTAATGTCATACTGAAACTGCTAAAGCTGGAAAATAAGAATGAAAGTGTCATGCATTGATTTACATGAACTTCATGCCAAATGTAGTTTGTTAAGTTGCACTCCTGGTTCCATAGATGGTCACAAGATGCACAGGAATGCCCAAATGTTAAAGGCATCAGTGACCCAGGGCACAAGCGTTTCTGTGCTACTCTGGTTGAATCACTACAGGATATCTTCACAGATGTCTCCACACTGGGGACAGTTTTATAGGAGCAGCTGTAATCAACACACATGACTAACTATGGTGTTATGTACAGGTCTCCTGAAAATCCTGAGCTGTTTTACAGCAGAATCAGCTCTTCCAGACATGAGGTATCTTCCATATCGCAGCAAATAATGGCAGCCAGGATACATCAACATGCACTGAATCTGATACAGTAAATTCAACAGTTTTCTCTTGCTCTTTTATAAATATGTTTATAATAAATACGTTAATGTTGTTTATTATTAACACCACCACTAGCCTCACGTGGGCTGCAGTGGCACAGACATTGCTGCTGAAAGAGAAGATACCAAACAGCAGGATCCGAAATGGTTTCACTTGCCCTTAATATTTTAATTAAGAGATCGGTACAAAACGGTTCTAAGAGAAAGGCAACAACTTTGCTTTAAAAGAGAAGCATCTTCTCAAAGACTGGAAGAAACAGTCCAAAGAGCAAAGAGCGCAGAACGAACTGGAGAGAGGCACAGCTTTGCTCCAGGTAAGAGCAAGAGGCCACTTACTTTCGGTCCTGACAGGTATTTGGCAAATTTTTCATAACACACACATAAATAGCCAATGCAGTTAAATACGGTTTCCTATTTTCCTGCTGATCTAAATGAAATTAATTGTGCTATCTTTATGAGAAAAATCAGGCTGGGGGAGAAAAAGCATGGAACTGAGAACCTACCCACCTCCAGAAGCACAAGACTACCAGCGACAAAGATCCTCCTGGTGGGCAGATAATTACCTCTCCACCAGGCGAGGACCTAGAGCACCAGAACAGGATGAACTTAGACCATGCCATGGCAATACATTTCAGGGAAACCCTGCTCTGCAGCAGGTGGATGAAGGTACCCAGCTCACCTCCTTCCCAAGGACTAAGCTGCTCGCTGCAATACACACACTCAGGACGGTACCCACTCCTCTCTCACATGCTGTCCTTCAGAGCTGGCATTAGCTTTCCAGCATCAAGGCATTTGAAGGAAGTGTCTGCTACGTAACTCTGAGCCCACCTGCTGGAATTCAGTGTCACACTCCCGAATTTAATAGTGTTTCCCACCTCCTAATGAGGGAAGGCTCATCCCCGAGCTGGGATATCACTGATCCCTGCTGGAGGGCACCAGGTTCTCCAGTACTGGAGGTCACATGCCATCAGACTGCATTTACATACTCAAAAGGGGTAAAAGTGTCCCAAGCACTAAATAGGCTGGGTTTAATCCCAGATTCTAATACTTTACCTTGCAGCAAGTTGTATCATTTTCTGCAGTTGGTTCCAGTAACCCTGCATGCAGGGATCAGCATATGGCCCTCTCTTTCCTACCTGAAACAGGACCTCACAACTATACCACTCCTACTCAAGGGACCTGAAGTACCTATATGACACTGCTCATACACAGAGGTTCTGTGGAAGAAAGCTGCATTTGTTCAGCTACCCCTGTGTAAAGTTAAGGTTAGTTCGGACTATCCTGGTCATGCATTAACACAATTTTGTTCATGTTACATCCAGCCAAGGTATTAATCATTTTTATGAGGGCAGACATTTGGAACCAGGATCATAAATCAATGCAGCAATAACACAAAGCAATGACAGGTATTTAGAGCAAACAGAAAAGAGTACCTACTCCAGAGCTGGGGCAGAACAGCTCGTGCTAGCAAGTGTGTAAATACGTAAAACTGGGAGAACACAGTGATGCATATTAACAACCACATCACTGAACAAGAACAAGACTGAGGCACGCATCAAGAGCAGACATCTGATCCCTTGCTGCAATATTTAGGTTATCCTGCAAAATACAGCATTTTGGACACAAAAATTTGCAGTTCCCCAAATGATGGCAAACAGCCCATGAGTAGGACAGAAAACATCCAGTGACACTTTCCAGTGTACCCAGTTTGAGACTGCAAGTGCAGTTTAAGTCATTCCTACACAGACATCTCCACTTTACACAGCAGAAGTGTCATTCTGCAAGCTCCGTTTCAAACCATGCTTCCAAGTGCAGTTACCTTGTTTTCCAAGGATTTACTCACATGCATATGTTAATGCTTGTACATCTCTGTTCGTCTGTGTGCAATGGAAAGCATAATTTCCTTGAATCCGGAATCGATTTCCACAGAGGAACTCCAGCAACACAACTTTGGATTCAACGCCAAACCTGCAGAGTACTTGTAGAGTCCCCAGCTCAGTAACGAGCTGCACTAAACCCACAAGGTTTTCAAAGGTATTTGAATCCTGTCTGAATTTCTTCACTTCTCTGCCTAGAAGGTGGTGTTGGTGGTAACTAGTTTGGACAGGCAAGGAGAGAGCACAGGGAGCCTGGCTGTCTTGTTGACCAATGCCAGTGGACCCTCTCCCTGTTCCTTCCCAGAGCTCTCCTAGGAGGGGGTGGAAGTGGAAGGTTCACAGTGTTCCTAGAGGATGACTGACCCCAAGCAAGAAAGGTTGCATGGTGGTATCACAGTTCCTCCTCCGGGTCTCCTCTGC